GAGTTTCTTCCATGTTTTAGCTATTATAAATAATGCTGATATGAACATAGGTGTACAAATATTCCTCTGAGACCCTGCTTTAAATTATTTTGGGTGTATGCCCAGAAGCAGAATTGTTGGATCATATTATAATTCTATTATTAATTTTTTTAGTGACTTCTATACTGTTTCCCACAGTGGCTATACCATTCGACATTCCTACCAATGATGCACAAAAGTTCCAACTTCTTTGCATTCTTACCAACACTTGTTATTTTCTGTCTTGTTTGTTCGTTTGATAGCAGCCATCCTAATGGGTGCCAGTTTTTTTAATTAAACTTTTTATTTTGTGATAATTGTAGAGTTGCATGCAGTTGTAAGAAATAACAGATTCCAGGGGAAGGGTATACCTCAGTGGTACAGTGAGTGCTTAGTGTGCATGAGATCCTGGGTTCAATCCACAGTACCTCCATTTTAAAAAATTAAATAAATAAACCCAATTACCCCCCCCCCCCCGCCAAATAGATTCTCTTCACTTGGTTCCTGTCCCTCTGTTTTTGCCAATGGTAATATCTTGCAATAGTACAATATCTGCACCCTGGAAATTGACATTGATACAATCTACCAGTCTTATTCAGATTTCAGCAGTTTACATGATCTTTTTTGACAGATTAATCTGGTCATATTACTTCCCTGTTTACAACTTTTCTAAAGATATTCATTGCATCATTTAAATTAGTAAAACAAAAATTTAAGTAGAAATTAGAAACAATCCCAAATGTTCAGCAATAGAGGAATGGTTTAATAGATTACATTATATCATATAATAGGCATACAATGAAGCCATTAAAAAGGACACAGTGGCTGTATGTGTACTGATATGAACTGGTTCCTGTGGTCCATTATTTTCCTACTTGAGAAGAGCCAGGTGCAGAAGAGTGAGGACCCTTTGGGTATAAAGACATAGGGAGGATAGGAAAGACGCTGGCTATAGCGGTTGTCTTTGGAGAGAAACAAACTGTAGGCTGAGATTCAGGGGTGAGATGAAGGTTTATTCACTCTATTTTGCTGTGGTTCTCAAACTTTTTGGTTTGGAATCCTTTTATACTCCTCAAAATTACTGAGGACTCCAAAGCACTTTTGTTAATGAGGGCTATTAGAAGTTAAGGCTAAGAACATTAAAAATATTAATTAATATTTTAAAATATTAATTCATTTTATTTATTTGTTTCTTTCATCCTGCCCAGTTATGTGGTGATCTTTCTTGCACCTTTGGTTGTATGAGATCTTCTGCCAGCATTCAGTAGGTATTCTGTGAGAACTGTTTTACATGTAGATATATTTTTGATGTATTTGTGGGGGAGCTCCACGTCCTTATATTCTGCCTATTAATTAATCTCAACCTAATAATTCATTTAAAAATAACTATAATAAACCAATTGCATGTTAATATAAAGAACACATTTTTATAAAAAGTAACTATTTTTTCCAAAACAAAAAATTTATTGAGAAGAATGGCTTTGTTTTGCATTTTTGAAAGTCTCTTTAATCCTTGGCTTAATAGAAAACAGCTTGATGGTCATATCTGCCTCTGTAGTCAGTCTATTGCAATGTATTGTTTTGGTTGAAGCAAGTGAAGAAAATTCAGAGTCGCAAAGATATATAGTTAGAAAAAGAAGGAGCCTTTTAATAACCTTTAGATAATATTCTCTGACAGCACATTGAAATTCAACGAGTAGCAATTTCTTAAAGGTTAGTTTCAATGTAGAATCTGATATGATAGCAAGGACATTTTCATACTCTCTTACATTAAAATCTATTGTTCTGTTGTGCATTTTGAATGATTTTTTTATGTGTGTATGGTTTTGTAACATCATGCATTTGTCATTTGGAAAATATTAATCGAGTTTTGCAGACCTTCCAAATTTTGACACTTCTCATTGTACAATATTAAAAAATCACATTTGTTACTGTCACTACTACTAATCTCATCAGAAAAGTCTTTCAGTACTAGTAAGAGAAAAAACTGCTGTTTCCTCTCTGCTCACAACACTTCTGACTCCAAATGTATGGGTTTGTTTTTTTTGGTTTTGTTTTGCTACATAGTAGTTCTCTGGACACCACCTGGGTGTCCTACAATTCAATTCTGACACTAACTACTTGAAGCCATAGCAGACCCTCACAGGTTAAGGGCTCAGTCCCACAAGACTGTCCCCACTTCAAATGCCAGCCACGTGGCCCAGGTTGTCACTTGTACTTCCTACTAATCAGCTATAACTCTGGGATTCCCACAACCCCCTTTTCAGTTTCAATAATTTGCTCTAAGGGCTCACAGAACTCAGGGAAACATTTGCATCTACTGGTTTTTTTATAAAGAATAAAAGATACAGATGAACAGCCAGATGAAGAGGTACAGAAGTCACGATCTGGAAGAGTCCTCAGTGCAGGGGTTCTATCCCCGTGGAGTTGGGGTGCACCGTCTCCCAGCACATGGATATTTTCACCAACTCAGAAACTCTCCAAACCCCTTTGGTTAGGGTTTTTATGGAGGCTTCATTAAGTAGGCAAAGTTGATTAAATCATTGGCTATTGGTGATTAAGTCAGTCTCAAAGCCCAGCTCCCCTCCCTGGAGGTAAGGGATGGACCAAAAGTTCCAACCGTCTGGCAACCAGCCCACGTCTTTAAAGGGTCACCTCAGTAGTTGAAAGGGGCTTATTATGAATAAGAAGAGACCTCTTCTCACTGCTATCACCCTGAAATGCCTGAGGGTTTTAGGAGCTCTGTCCCGGGAAGGGGAAGAAGACCGAATACGTATTTCTTATTCTATCACAGCATCATAACTAGGACGTTGTCAGGCTCACAGTAGTGGACACAAGTTTTCCAAAATTCTAACTCTTGCTTGAAATTTCAAATTTTATCATAAGCAACAAATAGTTGTTTTTCATGGAGTGACAGGCTCACTTCACTCATTTTCCAGAAAACGTCTGCCAAATACTGGAGTCTGAATCATCATCGTTTGTCAGTCTTTTTTTCAAATAAAAATGGTATTCCGTGAAAAAAGCACCTAGTTTGGCTGGCAACTCAAAGAATCACACAAATGCTTTTCCTTAAGACAACCAACATCCTTTGATAAGCAGCGGAACTGCTTCGTGAACCCTTGCCTCTTTCTCACACAGAATATTAAAAAGACGAAGACATGTATCACTCACAGATTAAGATTTAATAAAATTAATATTTTTTACTGCTCCATCAAGGACATTCATAAATGAAACTTTTTTTTTAATTGCAAATATATGGCAATAAGGAATACAACGACTAGTGTAGTTCAATGTGATGGGGAGGGAAAACTTTCCCTCTGCCCTCTTAGGTTCAGAATCTGGGGGCCTGTGAATTAAACTAACAAGAGACAGATTTACAGGAGAAAAGGCATTATAATTTTTATTAATATTTACATGCATGGGAGTTCACAGAAAAGAAGTGAAACTCAAAGAAATTGTAAGAGTTGGGGACTTAGATACTAACATTCTATTCTAACAAAGGAAAGGGGGTTGGGGGACAGTAAACTGTGGGAAAGGGATGAGGGAATACATGAGGGAACTGATGGAAGGCAGGATTATTTTAGTAAGGTCTGTCTATGCAGACTCATCTTGGTGTCCATTCATCTCCAGTGATGAGTCGTTCTTCTCTCCCTGGTACTGGGGGAAACACCTTCACAAAGGAAAGCTCATGTCCTGCTTTTGGGTAGATAAAGGGAAGAGAGAGTTTGCAGACATCACCCTCTATGCTTCAGGGAGTGGGTGTGGGAGGATGTTGTTGTGAGTAGCTACTGGGAACTCTAGTGGAACAGTTCTTGGGCTACCAGATAAAATACAGAATGCCCAGTTAAATCTGAATTTCAGATTAAACAATAAATTTTTTTTTTAGTATAGGATGTTCCAAATAATGCATGGGACATACTTATGCTAAAAAAAGAATATTCAGCATTTATCTGAAATTCAAATTTAACTGGTGTCGACTGAAATAAATGCGCAGCCTGTAAGTTGAGAGTTATGTTTTATTTGGCGGGAGGACTGGAGCCGGGATGACAGCCTCTCAGATGGCTCGGAGGGACTGCTCTGAAGATGTGGGGAGGAGCTAGGATATACAGGAGCTTTACAACGAAGACCAGGGAGTTGGAACAACAAAAGATTACTTGTTGTCTAAAGAAAACCAGGCATCTCAAGTTAAAGAATTTAGTGCTCTTCTATGTATGGGAGGAAGCAAACATTTGGGCTCATTGAATTCATTCCTTTGACAAGCATCTAGCTATCTAGGGCCAGTATCTTGTCCTTTCTTGTTCTGGGTCCCCTCAGAGTGCACCATGGTGAGTGGCTGCAGAGGCCAGGCTGCAGGCCTGTCTTCACTGGGGGGTGGCGGCAGCCGCTGATGACTTGATGACTTTAGCGTTCTTTGTTTACTGATGTTGTTTGCAGTATTTTTTGTTCACAGGGTCCTGGCTGGATGCCTTCTGTTTTGTTTTGGTTTTTAATTTAGGGGGTGTGTGCAGGGAGGTTAGGTTGGTTGGTTGGTTTGTTTATATGAAGGTACTGAGGATGGAACCCAGGACCTCGTACATGCTGAGCACGCACTCTACCACTGAGCTATACCCTCTGCCACTTCTGGTCTAAATAGAATGGTTTCCCACAGGTGTGGACACCTAGATCAGAGGGTACTAAGTGGCACAAGACTGCCACCGCCCTTGTCATTTGCAGGCTCGGGGCAAGAGTACGTACAGAGGCTCCTGCCCGCGGCTGGCCCCCCTTCTCTTCCATGACATACTGCGTGTTTCAGAGGTGGCCCCTAAAATGTACCTCAGTGCCTGTGCTTACCATGTGCTTTGACACTTGTCTCAGTGAGAGGTGGCACCTGTGTGCCCTGCCCTCTCATGTGGGCAGCCTTATGACTCCAGCAGAAACGATGCTCTATGGCTTCTGTAACTGGCTCACAAAAGGCGATACAACTTCTGCCTGATTCTTTTCAGGACTCCTGCTCTTGGAGCCCAGCTGCTATGCTGTGAGAAGGCCCAGGCCCACGCCAGTGGACGTGGGGGTGCACTGCCCGCAGCCCGCATCTGAGTGAGCAACTTTTGGACTGACTTTCGCCCCAGCCACCCTCTGACTGCCACCACAACAGAGACTCCAGCTGAGCCTGGTGACTCCAGGCCTGTGAAGAGAACAATAAATTGATTGTTCTTGTTTTCCACCACTAAGTTTTGGGGGCAGCTGATTCACAACAGTGACTGGAACATATTCTATCACAGGCTCCTTCCTGTACCATGAGCGGCCTTGGACTCGTGTGTGGGCACCCGGAACGTCTGTTCAAATTCTGTACTCTCCCGTGTCCTCCTGCACAATAGCCACCGTTGGCCAGCCCTCAGGCTTAGAAGTCCATGTCCTTGCTGCCCTCGGAAGGTAAGGTGGCAGAAACCAGCTCAGGTCTGGAACGTGGACTTGGGGCCTTATAGGCCAGGGACGCAGAATGTAGTCTAGAAGGGGGTGAGGGTTCTCCCCTTGGTCCCAGTGAGGCAGGGAGCAGGCAGTGGAGGACCAGAGTGAGGCCTTCTAAAGCCTGGGCAGGGCCCAGGCAGGGGCAGTGCTGGCTGAGGACTTTATATCTACCCTCTCCCGATCCTCCCCCAGCCCTTCCCTGCCGGGCCCATGGTCTTCGTTGCCCACAAGAACACAGAGGTTCACAAAAAGTCAGGCCCAGGCTCCGCAGCAGCAGCCAAGGTCAAATGGTGGCCTTTGTTAGAACACACAGCTCCCAAGGCCCTCCTTGAGCTTTTCTTAGACATACAGTCTACTTACCTTTGTTTAAAAACCAAACAAATCTGTACCCACTTTAGACTTAAAGAGGAGGCCCAGGGAGCCTGAAATAGGAGAACCCAGCCTTGACCGTGGGGGATGATAGCAGAAGTCGGAGAGCCGGAGGCGCTCAGCTGCCGTCCACCCAGGAGCCCCGTCCTGGTGGATGTCACCAAACCTGCTGGCGGAGACTCATTTATCTTTTAGCTCCCCAGCAGGGGATCTCGTTATCAGCTGCCCAGTCTTAAACCCCTTGTCCAGCCCAAGTAGTGCCTCTTAAAACCGTTTGGCCTTGAGAGAGGCCGGCTGCCCCTTATCTCTCTGTTTCGTTCTGTGCTGGCTTCCTGACGGGTTATCAGGGGAGGCTTTGGTTTCTCTGTCTCCTGTTATCTCCCTGCTGAGTTTCAGAGCTGCCCTCTCAGCAGCTCCTGGCCTAAGCTGGTGCCTTGCCCTGCAGAGGCTGGAGAGCAGGAGGGGCAGGAGCCTTGCCTTCCAGCCGGTGCTTCCTCATTCCCCACTCCTGGAACTCGTCTGTCCCTCGCCCGCCTCGGCCGTCAACCAGACTGGCTGGGTGTCAGTTATGGCTTCTGCAGGGACATAGGTGAGCCCCACAGAGCTTAGCTTTGGGGAGTTCACAGAGCAGCCACTTTTTTTTTTTTAATTAGGGAAACCAACATAGGCTTCTCCCTTCACTTTTGTATGTTTATTGATTTGCCAAATACATTACAAAAAGCAACTTCTTTTATTTCTAAAGAAAGGATGTTTTGACTCCCAGTGAGTAGAAAGGTAGATTAAAATAATGGTGTCAAGGGACACCACTCCCCTGACATGAAAGGACGGCTGGCAGCCTCACGTGATCCCAAGGGAAGACCTTGTCTGGGCTGCATCAGCACCTGGACGGGTCCCGAGACCCAGATCTGAGGCAACGAGGCTCCGGGAACTCCACAGAGCTGCCAGGTCCTCACACACATCAGGCCGTGCGCCTCATCCTTGCCCAGGATGCTTCCCCTTCTTCTCCCCAGCATGCTCACATTCCCGCCTCAGACACAGCCAGGCGACTCCTCCTGTAAGCAAGGCCTGCTTCGTGGGTGTGAGATCTGTGCGGTCACACAGGGCCCTGAGCTGGGTTTAATGCTCTGCCATTGCCGTCTCGAAATCTGGGTGAGGGGCCTCACGTTTTCATTTTGCACTGGGCTGTAGCCGGTCCTCCCTCCACACCATCTTTCTGGTGTGATCTCTCACCCTAAGCTGAGTCTGGGGCCTCCCCTCCACTGCTCACTCCCCAGTCACTCCACACAGAAAGCCCTGCTCACTGATCTGTCTCCCCACCCCATAAAGGCTGGGGCAGAGGCTGCATGAGCCCCGCACCAGACGTAGCAGAGGACAGGTGCTCAGTAAACATACATTGATTTGAACAGCCCAAGTGAAGGCCTGGCCCAGTTCCTTACATGATTCTGTCCAGAGCTGGGTTTCAACCCACTTCTCTTGCTTTGGGGCCAAGACAATCTTCCCTGCCCTGTTGCTCTCCTGACCAGTGGCCGAAGGCCAAAACCAACCCAGACCAAAGCCAAACATAAATCTGTTTTCCTGACCTAGGACCCAAACTAATATATTTTGTTTTTCCCCAAAGGTACGCTACTATTTTCTAGAGTAGTTAAACCCAACTAACCCAGAACATCCGAACACCCTCGACTGCGCAGGGCTCGTGACGCAGAGCCAGGGTGAGGACCAAGCACTGCCCAAGGAGGACTGGGGCCCTGCTGCGTCACGAGGGACTCAAACTAGGTCCCAGATGTCAGGAACTGGTAAGCTGTGGGCGGGGAGAGTGGCAAGTGCTGAGGCTAGATTTTACAAGAGCAAGGAAAGGAAGGGCATGGCTTATACCATTTCTGCCAAATCTGCCATGCAATCCCCTTACAGCCTTTCATTCATTCATTCATGCAGGGATATGCTAGTGAGGAAGATTCCAAGCTTTTTCTTTTCCTCTCATTTCACCTTTTTTATTGCACAGAAGGTGACATACCATATATTTTCTTTTCATTTTCCTTTTTAAAGTCAATAGTATGTGAGGATTGACTTATCTGGTGAATATGGAGAGTAAATATAATTAGTCTTGATAATTTCTGTTGTCTGAGTGTTTCCCTGAATTATTATTTTAAAAAAATTTTATTGAAGTATAGTTGATTTACAATGAGGAATATTCCAATCTTTTGAGTGCTTAGTTTCCAATCTTCTTTGGAACAAGGCAGAGTCTATAAATAATAGGGGGGAAACAAGCCATTGGTACCCACCTGGCTCCCTGCTCTGAACAGAGGTTCCACAGATACACCGTCCCCGCTTTAGCTGCCTTTAATGGCAGCCCTCTCCTTGCTTTGGGACCCAGGCCCAAGCCAGTGGTTATCTGATCATGCAACAGACAGCACTGTGCTGTACTCTGAACTTCCCCAACTTCCCCAAGGCCCTTCTCCCCTCCCTTAGCTGAGCTCTCACCCAGCTGCTCCGGGCCCCACCTGATCAGTCGCTAGTGGAAGTCAGACATGGAGCCGGGGGATCTCCTTCTGCCCTGGAGGCCTGGCGGGTAGAACGAGCCATGGCCCCCAACAAATATTGGAACTCTCTGAGCTCAGTTACCCTGAGGAGGGTGTATCCAGCCTCAGAAGGGAAGGGATCTGGTCTGCCTCCTAGAGCTCTGGTCTCTGTTGTGGGCACCAGATGAAGAGGAGGAACGAATGACCAGGCCTGGGCAGACTACCTTCTGAACAAAGCTGGGGCACAGACGGTCAGTGCTTATCTGGTGAGAGAGGGAGGAAGTCAGGAATGTGGGGAAGGTGAAAATAAAACCTTTCTGTTCTCTAAGTTTAAAAAAGGAAAAGATTTCTGGGGCCAAGTCCCAAGCCACAAATAGATCCATTTTAAACCTGGCCCAAGTAATCACTGATAGCTTTACTTCCCTGTCTGAGAGCCAGCCAATCAGCAGCAGCCTTATTCCTCAGAGCTAAGCTTCTGAAAGGCAACCAATTCCTTAACTTTCAGGCTGAAAGAGCCAATCTGCAAACAGCCTGGCTTCTGAAAGTCAGCCAATTGCTGAACAGCATGCTTTCTGAGCTCTATATAAGATTAGCTCTTGCATTGAACTGATTCTGTGCTTTCACTGCAAGTAAAGTTTTGTTTCTTCTTTCCGCAGGTAATAAATTCAGCTTCCCTATTTTAGATACATATCCTGGGGGAGGAGGTCTTGCGCTCAGACACGTGTCCCTGTGGGAGCGGTGGTGGTACTGCCCTCCCAACCCCGCACCTGACCTTGGTTCCTGGGTCTCCAGGCCACTTCTCTGTAACCTTGTCCTCTTCTTTCCCCGGTGATGTCTTGAGAACTGGGGAGGGAGACTGTGGCTGAGGAGAAAGTGTGTTGAGGGTGTCTTCACAGGGTCCTCTGTGGGGTCCTGTGGGGGGGGGGCTCAGCCTGAGGGGGATTCACTGACAGGAGACAGCCCTGCTCTCCCAGAGCTGCTCTGAGAGGGACACTGATGGATGGGGACACATCCATGACATCACGTCTGATTGGGCTGATGGCGGAGGCAGGACACCTGAGAGCAATCAGCAAAACAGCCCTGGAGCTCCCAAGCCACACGTAGCCAGGCCCCTCTTCCCTGAGGTGGGTGGGAAGGGTAAGTCAAGGAGGGCTTCCTGTTGGAAGTGAGGTTCAGGGGGCCAGAATGCCTCCCCTAGTGGTGCTCACATCATTCCCCAGCACTCTGGGTCAGGGAAACGAAGATGACAGCACAGCTCCCCTCTCTGTCTTCTCCCAGTCCTGTACCCACCCCACAGGCTGGGTCTCTGATGGGTGAGCCCAAGGCAGAAGATTCTTTCAGAGTAGAGCTTCTGTGAGCTTCTTGGAAGAGAGCCCTGGGGCACTCGGAGTGACTGGTGCGATAAGCAGAATCGGCCTCTGGAAGATTCTGCATCCTCTGCCTGCTTCGTCCCACCCCTCTCCTCCCCACAGACACCTGTGTCCGCTCCCCACCTTCACTGACTAGATGAAATATGTTAAGGTGTCTTTTTTCATCTGCTGGAATAGACCTAAACTGGCAACCAACTATCTCAACAAGTCGTGCTTTATTAACTCTGGGTCTGGTAGGGAGTTTGAAGTGATTTTGTACCCTTCCTTGTGCAGTGGGTGCAGCACCCACCCATGTTCCCTCCCCTCCTTCCTTTGGCCTCCCACCCCCACCCCCATGCAAACCTCCAAAAGGCGGATTTGCATAACATTTTGCCTGTGTTTGCCTAGTGGCTCCTCTCTCCTTTTGGAGCCAGCCTGGAACTCCTGGGTTCTGACACCAAGGAGTTCTGCCCCTCCACGCTGCCTGCAGGGGCACTAGGCTCCTCAATTCTTCTCCCCGGACATTACACTGGGACTAGGGTAAGACCAGCAAAGTGCCTACACCAAAAAAAATTAAGGAGGTATTCACTCTTAGGTGCTGACCCTGCACTCCCAAAACCCTGAGGGCGAGGGCCTCCTTAAATTTTGCCCCCTAGGTGCCTCACTTGCCTTACCCGATCCCCTGCTGGAAGTGTTCAGGCCTTGGGGGTCTGAAATCAAATCTTATCAAATGTGCCCTAAAAGCTGTTAGTCTCGAGTCTGTCCTTGAGCTGGCCTTGCTACCCTCTTCCCTGGCCACCGACTCCTCTTTTTGGAAGGGCAGCTAGAAGAGGTAAGAAAGGGTCTGAGGTGGGCCAGACTGTGAGATCAATGTCAGGATGGAGGATCAGAGGGAACCCCAACCCCGCACCCACCCAGGAACTGAAAACCATGTTGAAGGACCCTCAGGGTGACCTGCCTGCAGAGGGAACCAAGCAGGCCAGACAGTGATTGGGACCAAATGTTGATGAGAAACCCAGAACCCTGAGCTAAACTCGACCCCACCACAGCCTATCCTGAGGATTACCAGACCCTTCCCAGAGAGGTCTGAAGGGCCCTGAGAAAGACCAGGCTGAAGCAGGAGGTTTAAACTCCAGGTCTCTGATTGGAATTAACTGTGAAAGGGGACGGTTGTGAGACCAGGAGAGACAAGGCAGTAGAAGACCCGTCTGCATGTGTGTGTGTTGGGGGGGGAGGGTTGGGGGAGGTCAGCGGGCACGTGCCCACATCCGCATGGCTAGCCCGCAGGACCTGCTCAGGCACCGGGCAGACTTCCCCTTCCTCGGCCCTGCCTGTTCCTCACTCTGCAGGTAGCTTCTTCCTGTCTGCTCCTTGGGCATCTCTCCTGCTTTCACAGCTCGTCCAGAGTCTGGGACCCCTCTGTCTGTGGCCTCAGGAAGTGTTTTCTTGAGTCTAGCTGAAGGAGAGTGGGCCTCTTCTAGAGACTGGGTGGAGGTGGTCCGCAGACCCTCGTGGGCAAGATGAGGGGTGAGCCAAGTGCAGGCTGAGCGTCCTCCTGTGTCTGGGGAGGTGCTGAGCCAGGGCTGGGGGTGGGTGTGTGTTTGTGGAGGTGCCCCCGGGTTATTCCAGGCAGGGTCTTCTGCATTCCCTGCGTGTCTGGGAGGCCGAGCTCACCGGACAAATAGCACCTGGCAGCTGGCTGGCAGGCCATTGTTTTCAGGAGGTATTTCCTTGCTTCCGTTGGGGAAAGGTGAAAACAGACGGCAAGAATTAGCTAACGGTTCTGAGCCTCACCTCCCCCAGGGTGAAGCGATCCTAAACTCCCCGCCTGCCTCCCGTGTTTCTCCTCCCACCTCCCCAGGGCTGGAGGAGCCCAGGAGCAGCCTGAGGCAGCCCCCACCCGGCACTGAGGAGATAGGCAGGCCTCTAGCTTGACTCGCACCCTCCAGTGACTTGTGCTCCCCGTAGAATATGAGGCGCTAAAAAGCAGGGCAGACTTTGCAGACTGGCGGAGAAGCGGCGGCCTGGGGAGGCTGGAGGGGATTGATCGTAAATCAGAACTGGTGGGGCAGACCCCACACCACCAGCCCCACAGCTTTGATAGGCAGGGGAGCAGAATGTGCACCCCAGAATGCACCACTTCTGCACGTGAGTCATTTTGAACCAAAGACAGTGGGGGCCCAGGGGGCTCAGGAAGAGCTTTTTACCTCCCCCTTAACTGCCTTAAAGAATTTAAAGAGGGGCCTGTGCCCAGGAAGAAAGCCCTTACCAGAGAGAACTTTTCATATCAGGAAGACGTACCTGCATGGCATGACAAACATTTGTTTACCAAACATTTGCTCTTCTCAACTTCCTCTGAATTGTCTTCCTCCCCTTTGAAGCCCCAGACTCCTACCCCCTTCTCCTTAGCTCAGGATGGCATATAAGCCTCAATTACCCCCAACTGCCCTTGGGAGTCTCATATTTTTATGGGGATCCCCTACATATGAAATTTGTTTTTCTCCTATTAATCTGTCTTATGTGAATTTAATTATTAGTCCAGCCAAAGTACCTAGGAGGGAAAAAGGGAAAAATTTTCCACCCCTACAAGAATGTCTGGGGCTATGCCAGCCAATGTGGTGAGTTCCAGGGACAGAGGTTCCAGCTCAGAAAGAAGGGCCTTCTCTCAGCAGAGCTGAGGGGCCACGAGGCTTTCGGGGAGCTAATGAGTTTTCTGTCGCTGGAGGAGTGCAAGTAGTGGCCTGTCAGCAGGGCTGTGAGCGCTTCTGGAAGGACCCCTCAGACAGGGTCCAGCCGACGGGACAGGACTCCTCCAGGAGCATGACCAGGAGGGGTATCTCTTCCCCAAATCCAGCTGGCCTGAGAGAGGGGTGGGGGCTGGAGGGATGGGCATTGCCCGGATATCCCACTCTCAGGACAGGCTTCTGCTCTGGGCATCGGTAGTTGGCCCTTGGCTTCCTCCCCTATTTCTATCCCAGCTCCTGTCACCTGATTCAACTCATTCTCACAGCCAGGTGAAGGCAGGACAGGCCACCTGTACCAGCTGAGGAAACCCTACTGCCCAGCATCAGACCAGAGCCCTGCAGGCCCCTCAGACTCTCCAGGGCTGGGCCCTACCTCCCTCTAGTGCCTCTTGGACCCAGGTGAGTGATGGGCTTCCCTTCTCAAGGCCCAGACTTGCTGCTCAGGTGAACTGTCTGGGGTCAGACCAACAGACCATTCCCCTCCCTTGCTGCTGGCCTCACCTCTCCTGGGGAGAACTGCTTCACACCCAGGCTCAGGAAGGGCGAGGCTGCGTCAGGGACGGGCATTGATGGGGAATGGGGTTCTGTGATACTGCACAGGGGAGGCGGTGGGGGCCAGAAGGGGTCTCCCAGAGCCCTGGGATCCTATAGGTGGGCCTATTCTGGGTGTGAGACACAGGGGCCTATTCAAATGAGATTCAAATCAACCCTGCAGTGCTGCAGCCAGCCGCCAGGCCTCCCTGGCTCTTCCTGCCTGACTGTCACAGGGAAGCCAAGCTGGGGCTGAGCAGTCAGCAAGGGGGCTTGGAGCTGGGTCAGTTTCCTGCCCTCAGTTTCAACCCTGGGAGAGTTTCCTTCCCTCTCATAGCCTCAGTTTCCCCACTTGAATTAGTTCTGAGAGCTTGTTTCAAGTGAATTGAGGTCTAGGAGGCTGTCTGGCCAGAACTCAGGTTGGGGTGGAGCTGTATGGGTGGTGGCGTTTGGAGGCTAGAGAGAGAAGTCTCTGCCCTGGGGCCCAACATCCCAGCAATGTGGCTAGCCAGCCTCTGGCTCGAGAGTGACAGGTGATGGGCCTGAGGGTGGGGACAGCTTGTGCTAGTAATGTACAAAGGTCAGGATGGTGGGAGCTGTATACTCCAAGTGGAGACAATAGTGAGGCAGGAGCATTGTACACAGAGAATTTTAAAACAGTAACAAAATAGAATAAAGCTTATCTGCCTTGTATTCTCACCATGTGCTGGCAGTTCTAAACCTTGTCAGTGATAGAATACTCCTCTCTGAGTCTTTTATTGGTTGACGTTCTAAACAATTGTTCTAATTACTGTTGAATTTTTGTAATAAATAAAATAAGCTTCAGGTTAGCACCTTTACCTGCATATTCATTAATAAATGCTGTATCCTGCATGAAAGCTCACTCAGAGGATTCCCTGTTACACTCATGCTGGCCAGACTCCAAGCACGACTTTGGACTTACGTTTGTGGTTCCTAACTGGCCCTCTTGCACGGTCCGTACCGTCCCCACGTGTGTCTAGTCCCCGAGGCGCATATTCCCATGTTTGAACAGTGGATTCTCAATCAGCAAGGACAGTGCAGTGATTGTAAAGACAAAGAACCAGAACTTGAGGGCTTTCCATTCTGCCATCCTGTGGGACAGCTTGGAAGTTTTATTTATGAAACTAGAGCCAAGTAGGAGGCATAATATTTTTGTTTGATAAATGCAAACTTTAGTCCATTGTGGAATGTATTCCTCTCGTTTTGCGATCTTTACAGTGTAATCATGTAAAGGAGGAAGTGTTAAAGAATGCTCCACCGTAGATCTAATGCGCTCAGTATGCTGCTGGGTGGTACAGATCTGCAAGAGAGGGACCCGGCCAGTTCTCCACCCTCAAGACCTTGATGTCATGAGAAGGGCAGGGAAAGGGGTCAGCCACAACAGAGGAATGGCCTGGGGACCTTCCCCACCCAGCAGTAGTGCCCCCTCCCCCATTCCAGCTTTATTCACCTGTGGATGAAGTTCCCTGGTGTAGCCTGCAGCCACCCCATTGCCCCAGGTGGGAGGGGCAGGGGGTGGAATGTCTCCAGCAAGCTCTGATAAGGAGCAGAGGCCCAGATGCCCTAACCTCAGCCAGGGAGCAAGTCTGGAAGACGTCTAGAAAACTGACAGGTATCCTCCAGCCTTCATCGCCTGTCCTACCCTACCCTCTCCTGTGTAATGAGGGAAGGGGTATAAAATATACCACTGTATCCTAGGAATTATTTTGAGCTGAAGATATTTGAGAATCAACAGATGCAGGAAGAGGCTCTTCTCTGAACTTCCCCTTACCTGTCTAAAGGCAGAACCTCCCAAAAGAATTCAAATGTCATAAATTCCCTCCCTGGGAGTTTCGCAACCAGAGAAGATTGACTCCAGTCACCTGAGACCAGGATAAGAACTCACCTTACAAAGTGTCACAGCACTCTCATAGCTCCCATGTATTCTCCTGAGAGCCCATTTATCTTTCCTAAAAGTTATTTGTTTTCCCACAAGTGCCCTTTCTCTTCTTCCCCTATTAAGTGGTGTATAATATCTGATAAGGGGCTAATATCCAAAGTATCAAAGAACTCATACAACTCAATAGCAAAAAGGAAAAAGCAAAAATGGGAAGAAGAACTGAATAGACAGTTTCCCAAGGAAGTTATACAAATGGCCAACAGGCACACGAACAGGTGCTTCGACATCACTGATCTTCGGGGAAATGCCAATCAAAACCACAGTGAGCTATCACCTCCTCCCTGTTAGGATGGCTGTCATCAAAAAGACAGAAATAACAAGTGTTGGAGAAGACGTGGAGAAAAGGGAACCCTTGTACATTTTTGTTGGGAATGTAAATTAGTGCAGCCACTATGGAAAACAGCCTAGAGGTTCCTCACAAAATTAAAAACAAAACTACCATATGCTCCAACAATTCCACTTTTTGGCATATATCCAAAGGAAATGAAAATGGGATCTTGAAGACGTGTCTGCACCTCCATGTTCATTGCAGTGTATTCATTTACAATAGCCAAGACACGAAAATAGCTCAAGTGTCTATCAACAGATAATGGATAAAGAAGATGTGAGATATATACATATATATATATATATATATACACACACACACAATGGAGTATTATTTAGCCACGAGACAGAAGAAAACCCTGCCATTTGTGACAACAAGGAGGAAACTTGAGGACATTTTGCTAAATGAAAGATATGGCACTAGACAAATACTGTATGGTATCGCTTATATGTGGAATCTAAAAATATTGAACTCATAGAAATAGAGTAGAGTGGTGGTTGCTAGAGGCTGGGAGGGCAGGGGGAATGAGCACATGTTGATCGAAGGGTACAAACTTTCAGATGCAAGATGAATGAATTCTGGGGATCTAATGTACAGCAGGATGATTAAAGCTAATAATGCTGTTACATACTCGAAAGTTGCTAAGAGAATAAATCTTAAATGTTCTCACCACAAAAAAGAAACAGTAGGAGAAGGATATAGCTCAAGTGGTAGAGTGTGTGTATGAGGTCCTGGGTTCAATCCCTGGTACCTCCTCTAAAAGTAAATAAATAGACCTAATCACCCCCCCACCAAAAAAAGGTAATTACATGACAAAATGGAAGTGTTAGTTTATGTTATGTGGTAATCATTTTGCAATATGTAAGGTATTAAATCACCTACTGTACCCCTAACTTATACTGTGAAGGAGAGGCTGGGCTGGGCTAACAAGATAACTCACAAATCTAAGTACTGGAATCCTGATCTGAGTTCTGCTAGACTAACTTGTAAATCTAGGTTAATTAGTGTTGGTTTGCTGTTCATGTTTTTTTGC